TGTTGCTTTTTCCAAGTTTTAGTGATACAGTTAGTACAGAACCTTGGAGAAATTTAAATTTCCTATAACTTTATACATCTATAAAAATTTATTTTAAAACATAATAGGGTGTTAACATATAAAGATCTCAGTAGTTGCAATCCAGTAGACAGAGAACACAGTTAATCCTAGATTTTCTGAAGTTTTACACACAGAATCATTTCCTTGGCTTGATTCTCATGTTATTAAATAGGTTCATTCAATATTTATTGAAAAGATCAAAATGGGCAATCTTCTTTTCTTTCTGTCTTTATCTCCATTTTCTTATTCATTTTTTAAAAAATTGTGGTAAAATACATATAACATAACATAAAATTCATCATTTGAATCCATTCTTTAGTGGAAAGCTCAATGCTATTAAGTAAATTCGTATCACCAGGCAGGCATTACCATCATCCACTTCCATGACTTTTTCATCTTGTAAAACTGAAACTCTATACTCATTAACCAACTCCCCTTTCCTCCTCTACCAGCCTTTGGCTACCACCACTCTACTTTTGTCTCTATGAATCTGGCTATTCTAAGTATCCTCTGTAAGTGGGATCATACAGTATTTATCCTTACATGTCTGGGTTATTCCACCCAATATGTCTTCTAAGTTCATCCAGGTTGTAGCATGTGTCATAATTTCTTTCTTTTAAAGGCTGAACAATATTCCATTATGCAAATAGGCCATATTTTGTTTATCCATTCATTTGCCAATGGACACATATTTGCTTGCACCTTTTCAGCTGTCGTGAATAACGCTGCTGTGAACATGCGTGCACACATACCTGTTCAAGTTTCTGCTAATTCTTTTAAGCATATACATAGCTGCAGAATCGTCCATATTTTTATGCTTAATACTTACAGTACCCAGCCCTCATGCAAAAATGTTTTGAAGCTCAACTATCCTGCAACACTGAAATGATGATTTATATATGACAGAACCTCTGACCTAGATGGATACTCAACCTGAAAGAGGGATAATCAATAAAACAAGGTAAGTGGAAAAAGACTAGATCCACAGGTAATTAAAATAAGAAGAATTGAAAGAATCAAATTTATAAAGTAAGAGAAAATGGTTTATAGATATCATATCTCAAAAGGAGGTAAGCCTCTGGAGTGAATACCAAGGAAACTGACTTTGTTACTTAATTGTTAAATGCCACAAAGTTAACAGTGTGATCATTTAAAAATACTCTACAGCGTGAGGTTTAAGGCACAATGATTCCTAATTAGTGTTTTAATAAGTGTGTTAGCACTGCCTTGTGCCATCCTGGAATGTCACTTATGGTAAATTAAGGGACACTTTCCCTCCCTATCTTCCATTAGTATTTCAATGCTAGGAGGTGGGAAAAGCTGATCCATATGCAAGAGGAAAAGAGGGAAAACAATAACAAATTGGCATCTCTTCTGTGAATTGCCCCACAGGCCAAGCATTTTTATGTTCTTAATCATTATTAAATGACTTAACATGACACCCAGAGCCTGGCGAATGATTGCATCCTGACATGAGAACGAATTACAAATGAAATGAAAGATCAAGCCGTATTAGAGGACTGCCTCTGGGAAATGAAAATCTTTAATTCTCTTTTATTATTGACATTTATTTGGCTGCCATGAATAACAACATAGCAAAGAGATTCAGCTATGCTTGTGCGCTGAATAGCTTATCCCAGGGCTCAAAACTGCATTAACATTTATCATGTTTGCTTTTGTAGCTGACACCACTGAACAGATTCTCTATCCATCTTGTATTTATCATGCATTGCAGATATAGTGCATCCTCTAATTTAAGTTCATTTTCATATGGTAGGCACAGCAAAGATTAGCCAGTGTCTTTTCTCAAATAAATTCCTGCTTGTTAGCATTCCTAAGATTGGTGTAATAGATTTAATAAAATGAGTTCACAGGAAAATCCAGTTACAGGATGGGGAGGTTAATTTTCAATTTGGGGAAAATTGTGCAAATTCACAATGAGGCAGACACTATATATGGTGTATATAAGGCCTTAAAGTGAACGTCTCCATAAAGAACCACCAAATAGCATTTTGTAAATCTGAAACTAGAACTACGGTTTCTATAAGAAGCTTGCATGTTTTTCATTTTGCTAAAAGGTTCACTGCTAAGAAAGGAAAAGGCCACATGCTGGAGGAAGACAGTGATTAGCACGGTTTGTATTAAAGCAGAGATATCCTTTCATGGTTTCTCTTCTTTCTTAAATGAATGAACAACATGGCTTTTCCTGCCTTAATGATAAAAGATTACATAATACCTGGTGTCATTGCTTACGTGACCCTCTTTGGACTGCCATCCTTTTTAAAAATCCTTCCTAGAATTCAGTTTAGCAAGGCTACTGGTGCATCTTGGGAAAGCCTCATAATATCTCTGAATCTTGTTTGATAAGTATTTTACTTTTCTGTCTTTCTTTTTAAAAAGTTTTAATTATGGAAAATTTCAAGTGTACAAACCAGAAATAATAGCATAACCATTGCCCAGCAATAATAATTAAATCATGACCAGTCTTATTTCATCTATATCCCCACTTTACGACCACTCGCTGAATCACTTTTATTGTATGCTGTTAATTTTATTTTTAGATGTATCTTTACCATTCATATTTTTATATTTCAGTGTTTAGAAGAATACTGAACAAACACAAAGGTAATCATTGCTACTGTCTATAGTGATTAATTAACTGATTGTTTTTTTGCGGACTAGCAGGTGGCGTGGTGGTTGGGGCACTGGACACTCCCTGGTCCTGGTGGCTTGCTTTCTCACTTTCCTTCTCTCTGGTCATATTAAAATAAGTGAATGAATAAATAAAAATAAAAAAAAATTAACTGATTGGTTTTTAATCTGACTGGTTCAGACAAAATTAGAAAGGTTGTGTTTGAGCTTTAATAATGGATAGCATCATATCGACAACAACAGTAATTTTAATCAATAACATGTTTATTTACTAGCAAAAATTCCCATTTTATTTATAGGAGTGCTATAAAATAGATGGCTAAGTAAAAGCAGAAATAAGATTTTCTTCTTAAAGGAAAGGTCTGATGAAGTAATTTATTTCTGAATTTTGTGTGTTCATAATTGAGTAAACGTATTTTATTCTAACTCAGGTATTTGACAAGTAAGATATATTCTTTCTTCCACAAAAGTCATTTCTGAACTGATAAAATCACCACAGTTTAAACTACATCAAAGCACTTATGTTAAACTGAATTTTCCCCTTTATCCTTGATAGAATGTGTGCATGTGTATACGAGAGAGCAAAAGGTGGAGGAAAAAAGAGAGAAAAAGAGGTGGAGAGAAGGAGAGGAAGAAACACCCTTCCATAGGATCTGGTCATGCTGTGAACCCTTTCCTCGAGTCCCCGAGCCTGTTAGATTTTGGGCACTTGTGCCCATGTCTGGCATGTTTCAGGCTGAATGGGCTGAGGAGCTGAACTGCAGTTGTATGTGCGATTCCACTCTCTTTAAACAGTGCTATACTACTGTACCTAAAAGCCAATCCCACAAATTGAGTTTTAATATATTATCTTGAAGATGATATCCTGGCCCAGCTGGTAGTACGGTGGTTAAAGTGGATGGATCCCATGTGGCTGATTGTATGGTTCAAGTTTTGGACCAGGTAGCTTGAAAAACTCACAGGGCATATGTGTGTACACGCCCAAAATACTGAGAAGAGACTGAAGGAGAAGAGACTGTGGTGTGACCATCCCCCATGGGGGGAGGGTGCTTTCTCATTTTTGTTTTCTCTCTCTCTATCTCTGGAGAGCGCATGCAACCTCTAGTAAAATGAATAAAACAAGAAAACAAAAAGAAAACAAAATCCTTTTGGCACCAAGTAGTATAGCAGTGAGTAGTATAACTGAACTCACATGAGAAAGGTTCTGAGTTCATGTCCTGGGACCTTCCTGGGCACACTGGCCACACAAAGAGACCGGGAGTGGATTATAGAATGAGGACTCTTATTAGCGGTGTTATTCTCCCTTTCTCTCATACAAGAAATTTTTTTTTTTTTGAGAGTTTTCTTTTTTCTTTGCTATAGGGAGTGTGTGCTTGCCAAAAAGACAGAGAGAGACAGAAAGTGAAAAATCACCCCCCCAGGGAGGATGGCCAAGCCACAATCCCTTCTCCTCTTGGGATCTTGGGCACACATGCACACACGCACATGCGCCCAGTGTGAGTTTTAGCCACTGGGTCTGGGACTCAAACCGTGGTCGACTACATGGGAGTCCAGCGACATAGCATTATGCCAACTGCTGGTCCCAATAAAGGAAATTTTTAAAAAGAAAAAAAAATGTTTTTCACTGAGACAGAGGTTAGAAATATTTATTTAAACAAAAAAGCCAGGGGCCAGCTGTGGTGGCGCAGCAGTAACACAAGATTCTGTGATGCTGACACCAAACAGGAAGGTCCTGGGTTCATGTCTCAAATTCTCCCTGTACATGTTGGGTACATACATTGGCCTATCTGACTGGGGGTGAAATGAAGTGTGAAGATCCCTTTGGGGTTGCTTATGTCTCTCTCTCTCTCACTCACATGGAATAAATTAATAAAGGAACTTTAAAAAACCTCATAGAGTCAACAGATGGTGTAGCAGTTACGTCACTGGACTCTCAGATAACCAAGTGCGGTTCAAGTTCTGGACCTGGTGGCTTGAAACTCATGCTGGGTACATGTGCATGTGTGCCCAAGATCCTGGAAGGAGAATGGAGGAGAAGGGATTGTGGCATGGCCATCTCCCCAGGGGGTAACTTCTTACTTTCTCTCTTACTGTCTTTGTTTCTCTCTCTCTCTCTCTCCAGTGAGTACACTTACCCTAAGGCAAAAACCTCTACAAACAAAAAACCATAAACCTATAGAAGACATAGTGCTTTGAACATAATCACAAAAAAAATATAGAATTTTTTTTGGGGTCATAAGTGATTATTTCCATAACACTGGATTTTTTCATACAATTTCCACATGTACCTGTAGCCATTATAGTGTCATCTCTTCCCTGGGTGAAGATCACAATTCTCTGCCTCTTCGAGTTCACTTTGGGCAAGGCTTGTGTCTTTTTGGCTATCTCTTTAATGTCTTTAGTCTATTAATAGAAAGGAGGAAAAACATGTTAATAATAAATACAATCAAAACTTTATTAGTTAGAATAATAATTTCATCTCTGATGACCAAAATGAGAAAGATATGAATATCTATTAAGATATTTTTTAAAACAGATTTTAGTCACATACAAAAGTAAACAGACTAGTACAATAACTTCCAAGAAACCTATCATCAAGCTACAAAACATTTAAATTTATGAAGAATCTTATTTCATCTATATCCTTACTCTCCTGCCATTCATATTGTTCTGAAGCAAACCCCAGGCACTATGTATTTTCACATAGAATTTATTACATATTGCTGAGGGATAGTGACTTTGGAATACCACATAACTATTACCATGCTTTAAAAAAAGTAACAATAATTTCTTAATATCAGTAAATATCTAGTCAGTTTTCAAATTTCCAATTAAAGAGTGGTTTACTAACACTGAATTATTTTAGAGAGCTTAGCATAGCATAATTATGCTGACTTTGGAAATAATGTAGTTGCTCAAATGCCAAGTTTTTTCAAAGGAATGAAGTGAGAAAAAAAAGGCTCTTTCTTATAAAGAATTTTATAAGAAATTTCTTAATTTCTTTTTTTTTTTTTTTGAGAGATTTTCACTGTAGGGCGCGTGCGCTCGCCAGACAGACAAAGAGAGACATAGAGACAGAAAGCGAGAAATCACCCCCCGGGGGGATGGTCACGCCGCAATCCCTTCTCCTCCATTCTCCTCTCGGGATCTTGGGCACGCACGCACACGCGCCCGGCGTGAGTTTTAAGCCACCGGGTCCGGGACACGAACCACGGTCGACTACGTGGGAGTCCAGCGACATAGCCATTATGTTAACTGCTGGTTCCCAGAAATTTCTTAATTTCTTTAAAAAAATAAAGTTTAAAAAATTTAGGGTCAGCGGTGGTTAAGGTGCTGAATCGCACAAAGCCACCTCAGCGGTCTGAGTCTTAGAATCAGTGGTCTAACTTTTGCAGAAGTCATTAAAAAAATTACTAATTTATTCTGAAAACCCTGATGCTATTCTTCAAACCAACTAAGCCATGAAGTTTTACTTCATAAACACTCCGACTTGAAATCTAACTCTTCAGTTAAAGTTTATAGAATCACGTTTTCAACATTTTAGATGATTTTAAGAATGTACATCTGCAATCAGGAGTCCTCTAAAATTGTGAAGGTTTTTGGGCTTTGCTGGTAGTTTTTTACTGTGCAAAGTTTCACATCATCATGGCAATAGAAACACATACTGGAAGGGAAATATATGTGAGCGACATAAATTAAAAATTTATAGAAATATTAGGGAAGAAAAAGTAGTATAGGAGAGAAAAATTTAGCTAAGTAAAGCAGGCAAGTCATAATGGTTTATAATGGTTACAAAAACTACCAGAAACTCTGACATTTAAAAAGGTATAACAATCTGCAGTGAAACATTTGTATGTTGTTTGCTCACTAAATATTTAAGAAATCCCAGATAATATATGAAACTAAGCTTCAAATACACCTAGCACAATGATTTCCAGAAAGCTGCTGTTTTTGAAAAGAACAGCCACTTGTGGTAGGACAATGCTGCTGACCTTTCAAACATGCTGACTATTTTACTTTCAGCAGCTTATTTTAGAACCAGAACTATCAGCCTGAACATTGATAAGAAAAGAAATTCTGTAAGGTTTTAAGAGACAATAAGAAATGACAACAGAAGAAAGGACCAAAAATTGCCATACAACAATGATATCTCCACTCTCTTTAAATAAATGTTCATATTTAATTACGATGACCTAATGCATATTCCGCCAACCTTCTTACCACAAATATATATGTGTGTGTGTGTGTGTGTATTTTAACTGCTATAGGATTTTTGCTTATGATTGAGAAATTGAGAATGGCTCGTATTTAATAAAGATAAGAGGCAAATAGATTCACTTTATTATCTTGGAAACAGAATCTTATGTGTATGCTAGTTGTTTTCAGAAGGGAAGTCTTTCTTCTAGGTGGTATGAGAAATAAATTGAGATAACGATTCCATGGTTACTTTCTACCAACCCTATGGGAAGATATGTCTTGTTATGGGAATTCTGGTGATTTAATCAAAGAAATCTTTTTTGGGTAGGTTTTTTGCCATAGGGTGTGTGCACTTGCCAGAGAGAGGCAGAAAGAGAGCAAGTGAGAAATCACGCCCTGGGGGATGGCCATGCTGCAATCGCTTCTCCTCTATTCTCCTCTAAGGATTTTGGGCACCCATGCATGCACTCTGTGAACCCAGAGCCGGTCCAAGATGAAGAAATTGAGTCGCAGAGAGGTGAAGCAACCTGCCTAAAGTAACACACATAAATAGGAGAGCCAGGACTACAACCATGAAGTCTGACTCCAGGGATCACACTTAACTATGATTTCATGTAATCTACAGATTAAACCACTTTTATAAATTTGGGCAATATGCTTTTTTGTTATCACAAACTATAGCATGTACATCCTAAATCGCTTTTCTCCCACATTCACAAATCATTTCTTTCTTTCCTTTTTTTTTTTTTTTTCTTGGAGAAGTTTTTGCTATAGGGCACATGTGCTCTCCAGAAAGACAGAAAGAGACACAGAGACAGAAAGCAAGAAATCACCCCCTGGGTGGATGGCCACACAACAATCCCTTCTCCTCCATCCTCCTCTCGGGATCTTGGGCATGCACGCACATACGCCTGGCATGAGTTTAAGCCACTGGGTCTGGGACTCAAACCGTTGTTGACTACGTGGAAGTCCAGTGACATAGCCATTGCGCCAACTGCTGGTCCTGTCATTTCTAATCTTGTATTTAAGTTTGCTATAAGGTGCACGCACTCACCAGGAGAGAGAAAGAGAGAGAGAGAGAAAAATATAGATCACCCCCTAGAGAGAATGGCCATGCCACAATCCCTTTTCCTCTCTTCTGCTCTGAGGGTGTTGGACACACACAAACATGCACCAAGTGTGTTCTCATTCCACTCGTCTGGGACTTGAACCTTGTAGTCAGTCATGTGGGATCCAGCTGCCTTAACCTCTGTACCACCTGCTGACTCCCCTTAGCTTGTATTTTAGCCCAGTGAATTTCAATTTCTGAGTTTCAAGATATTTCTCATTTTTTCAAGGACATTTAAAAATCTAATTTCCTCTCCTATCAACAGCATGTTAGAATGTAAGAGAGAAAGCAGTGCAGTTTGTAGTAAAGAGTACCAGATATAGAACGCTGAGCTCCAGTTCTGGCTCCATTATGTACTATGTGACCTTGAACAAGTCATACAGTCTATTTTCGGTCGGTTAAACTGATATGGTAATATAGGCCTTATCTACCTCCCAAGGTTTGTGTAAGAATTAAATATATTGACGATATATTAGGTAAGGCTTTATAAACTATGATGCATGTCATAAATGAAAAATAATGCTTTCATTGTCATTGGTAACAATTAAATTTAGGATTGTCTTCCCAATGATACACTCTTTCATTTCATTTTTAACGACTAATGTTACCACTGTCAACACTTCTGTCATAATTTACCTACTTCTGCAGAATACCCATTGTGGTGAATACCCATTGTGGTGTTTCCTCCATTGCCTCATTTACCCATACTGTTTTCCATACAGAAACTCCTATAATAGTTGTGGTGTTCTTATGATGTGTCAACTGCCCAGCCCGATCTCATGCTGCCCTTCTCACTCACTTCATTCCAGTTACACTGGACTTCTGTCAGTTCCTGGAATTCATAATACATTATGCTCTTTCTGGTTTGGAGGCTTTGGAGCTCTTGTCCTCTCTGAAATTTGTTTTCCTGTTTGTATTTTTTTTTCTCTATTCTTGCTAAGCTATTCATATTTTTCAGGTTTTACTCTCTAACATTCATTCCATGGCCATAGTATCTAAAACAGAACTCCTTCTACATGGCCTTTCACAATACACTCTGGTCATTTTTGCCCTGTCTTCAGGGTCTATTAATGTTAGACATATAGTAAGTGCTCAGTGAACAGTTTTTCAGTGAATAAATGATGAAATGAGAGATTAGAAGACTATCTTTATTTTAATTTAACTTTTAATTGAACTTTATTTATTTTAATTTGACCAGAGAAGGACAGAGCAAAAGTGAAAGAGCGAGCGAGAGAAAGCAAGCCGCCAGGTCCGGGACTTCAACTGCGGTTGGCCATGTGGGAGTCCAGTGCTCTTAACCACCACGCCACCTTCAATCCCCTAGAAGACTATCTTGTATCTTTCCCTTATGCTGTTTTAGAATTGTCCTCAGGGCCAGCAGGTGGCATGGTGGTTAGGGTGTTGGACTACCACATGGCCAACCACAGTTTAAGTCCAGGACCTGCCCTATAGCAAATTAAAACAAAATAATAAAATTAAATAAAAAATTCTTTAAAAAAATTAAAAATAAATAAAACTGTCATCTTTTGGGATTGTGGGGCCCATGAAAGCAGCATTGTACTCTCTTCGGCAGCAGGACCTGACTAATGTCTTCTTTTCAGGAACTCTTGCTCTGGATGATCACTCATTGCATTCTTTATGTGACGAGCACTGGAACCTTAGAATCACTTTAGAGAACTCTTTGGGAATCAGTACTCCGTGAATATTCTTTGTGAACTTTCTATCCAGTGCTGATCAATGGAACCTTCTGTGATGACATTATCTGTTCCCTATCTACCATCCAATAAAGTTGTCATTGGCTACACAGGCTATAGAGCATTTGAGATGTGCCTAGTGCAAATGAATGACTAAATTTTAAATAAAAAAAAATGTAAACTAACATCTTTTTAAACATTTTTTTTTGGCCATACCAATAGCCAGCTTTTATTTTATTTAAAAGGAAATGTTATTATTTTAAAAAGAAGGCTCCAAGAAAGGTAACACCATTCCTAGCAATGATTATTCCTGAAATGTATGTATGAGATTTGGAACACAATTCTAAAAAATGCTAAAAACCAAAAGGATTCACTCCTGCTTTCACCTTTTAAAAAAATCCAGA